GCAAAGAGACAATAATGAGAAAGTGTAAAGAAAACAGTACTGACTCATTCTCTTTTATGCCAAAATAGCAAGGTCACAATGCCCCCTTCATGTGGCTACTTGCCTATTTTGGACAAAGGCCGTCTTACTGATGAACATTCTTATAGTTGTGCATGGTTTGTTTAAAAACGCCAATGGTGAATGAACATCTGGTACTCAATTTTATTTATTTTTGTTAGTGGAACTCTGGCATTTTCTAGTACAGCATTGGCACATTTTAGGATTTTTTTTCTCTAGAGAAAAATAAAAGCTAACAATAAAACATTTTTCCTTTTCTTATTTTTTTTTTCTGGAAGGGGTAGAAGAGTAAACTAAAAATTCAAGTAATATTGACATTCATTAGAGTTTCTCTTTTTTTTTTTTGGTGGCTGGCTGGTACAGGGCTAGAACCCTAGTTCATTGTTACCAGCACCACACTAGCCAGCTGAGCTAACCAGCCAGTCCTTGAGGTTCACTTTTACAGAAGAAACTCTGACTTGCACTGACATTACACACGTGACTGCACATTTGCCACGACATTTTGCAGTTCTTTTAATATGAATTTGAAAACTTTATTATTGAAAGTTTAACAAAAATCTGTTCTTCTTCCACCTTTGTCTACCTTCTTCCTAATCTAAGATGAAGAATGTGAGAAACTAAAAATGCTTGTCATTTCTTCCGGCCAATAGACAATTTACTGCTCTACAAATGGAGCTAAAAGACTGAGGAGAACAGATTTTAGATGCTGTAAACCAAAAGAGATGCTTCAGGACTTTGAAGCAGAAGGAAGCAGAGTATGGTATAAATTCTGTTTACAGTCTGAATTTTTTAGAGGGGCATCAACATATCAAACACATTGTAAGGTATATGTTTGTCAAGTTATATGAGACTTATTAATTGTTTACTAAAAGTTAAATTGTGGGCCATTATAATTGTTTCATTTCATTTGTCTCACAGGAAGAATTACCTTATTTTTCATCTGTTTCACGTATTATTTTTATATAACACATTTCATTTTATGTCAACTTGACTGGGCTAAGGGATGCCCAGATGGCTGGTAAAAAATTATTACTGGGTGTGTCTGTATGGGTGTTTCTGGAAGAGATTAGAATTTGAATGAGTAGGCTGGGTAAAGAAAATTACCCTCACTAATGTGGATGGACAGCATTTAATCTGACGAGAGCCAGAATAGAACAAAAGGCAAAGAAAGGGCAAATTCACTCTTTTTTCTTTGGCTGGAACATCCATCTTCTCCACCCTTAGACACAGGAGCTCTGGTTCTCAGACCTTTGGATTCAGCTTGAGACTTACATGAGTGGCTGCCCTGGTTCTCAAGCCTTTACCTTGGACTGGAGCTATGCCATTGGTTTTCCTGGGCCTCCAGCAAGCAGATGGCAGATCATGGGACTTCTCAGCCTCCATAACTGCATGAGCCAATTTCTCATACTAAATTTCTTTCTATATATCTCTATATATTCTATTGTTTCTGTTTCTCAGGACAACATTGACTAAAACACACATTATATTGCAATTATCTATTTATCTGTCTTGCACTAGACTTTGAGAACCAAGATGTGAGGATCTCTCATTTATCATTGTACTCACAGATCCTAGAACAGTAGCTATTACATAATAAGCACACAGGTAATACTTTTGATTTTTATGAAATATATTGCAGGTCATGACAGGAGCATATATTGTTCATGTATTTTGGTATATTGGTAAAAATTCAGGTAATTCTTCAAAAAATACTAATAAGCCCAAAACTAATCATAAGCCCCCATTAAATAGTGATGTCAATCTTTTCTGGAAAGTGACTTTTTCCCCCCACAAAATAATTTGCTCCCTGTGTTTCTTTTTCTTTTTGACAAAATGCACAGTTATACTCTTCTCATATACCTATAGCAGTTCATATTTTACTATCAAAAATATACTTAGAAATTTGTGAAAATTCACATAATGGTCCTTCTGCCAGATTTGAACTCATGCTGTGAAGTTGGATGTCCACACGATCCATGCTATGGCTTCCCCACCAAAGCTTTAAGTTATGTTTTAAATCTAGGGAAGCTATTGCTTTGCCCCTGCCTGGGTATTGTTCCAGGAACTTCCCTCCCCAAGTGCAAAGATCATTCATCCTGTTCTAATTTTAACTTGTACATGACTGTCAGAGAGACCAGAGGCTGAATTCACTTAAATTGCTTTCAAAGGAGAGTATCAGAGTTGAAAATAACAATAAAGGATTGGTCTTTTCCTCAGAGCCCTAATATGCTTAAGGAATAGAAACCTGAAAACTGCAGGAGGTTCCTTGATTATTTGTTGTTTATTTCAATTGACAGCTCTCTGTGTGTCTAGCATGTAGATTAAGCAGTTCAATGTAAACATATGCTACTTTTAAAAATTGGTGTTTAATAATATATATTTGTTAACCATGAAATCCAAAATTGCATTGCAGGTTTTAATTCCAAATTGTGAAGTCTAAAGATGCATTGGATTAAAATTTTCTATCTCTTTTGACTTAGATTTGTAACATTAGTACCGTGCCCAGTTGCTGTCTTCAGCTCTCCACTTCAGATGACTCATAATATCTTTACTCTCTTCAGATCATCTTTGCTACATTTTTCTCTCCTCAATTTACTTTTGTTCATTTTTTATCAGCTTCCTAAATTTTCTTTGAAGCAAAAGAAGCATAAACTAAATCACTCTTCAAACTTCATGAATTACAACTGCTTTAGATGAGGCTTCTAGATGTTTTTGAAGAAATTTAGTACCAAAATTTCAAGTTGCCAGAGCTGCTGCATTCATGGCTCCAAGAAGCACCATTCACTCATCTGTCACCTCTATGAATAGTTGTACCCTGGAGTGGTACAACATATCGTTACATTTCTGTACATAACCTATGTGAAGGACTATTTATGTTGTCTCTCTGAGTGGAGACAGAGATGTCTGGGGTGATAGTTCTCTAAGTGATGATTGCATGAAAGCAGTTTCTAGAGACATGAGAAATTACCATCTGGAAGATCATCTTTCTTACCTGAACTGTGGTTTCCTGCCAACAAAGTGGGGCTCACAGAGCATCTTCCCAGTCTACTGGTGACCACAGGTGGACCTGGAGTACCATCCCATTCCTGAGCTTTGACAGGCTCTCTGGAGGAAGAAGCCCCATGGTGTCCTCTCTCTTTGCTGTCCAGCTTTGGTAACGGCTCTGTGCTGTGGCTTCGGACTTTTGGCTCCTCTGTTGATTCTGTGTATTAACCAGAATTTCATTCTATTAAGCAAAAGTTGAATCTGTCCCAAATTCTTTTTAAAAAATTAAACAGTGATTTCTCTAAAGTGCTTTTAATACATGAGGGTACTTTAAAAAGCTCATGAAAAGATTTGTATATTTTAATTCTATTTTTCTATGAACTTTTGGAAGTGCTCTCATATTGTTGGAAACTTAGATTTGTATTGGAGACTCCAGCATTTAAATATAACAGGGACCTAGATCCCACAGGGCCCTTTTTCCATGCATGTAAGCTAATATCTCTGGGAAATACAATTCTCTCTTTGGAAAAAGAGTACCTCAGTGAATCTTGAGTCTTCCTTAGTAACTCTTCCCTTGTGCTCGATTTCAAGGAAATTTCTTAAAGATCACTTTATATTTACTCTTTTTACTTTCTCATGTTTCTTTCAGTTTGCTGCCCACTTTGACATGAATTCAGCCCAATCACTGTACTAAAAGTGCTTTTATTAAGATCAGCTAGTACCTTTCACTTGGCAAATTTAGAAGACATTTTTCAGCCATTTGACACTCCTTGACTGCTCCCTTATTTATATCTCCAATTCTCTTGGCTTTACTCCATCTTCCTATGTTGTGTTTTTTGTCTAACACATTTTCTGTGTCATTTATACCTTCTCTTCCTCCACACACCGCTTACACGTTTGCTGTCTCTAAGCTACTAGCTTATCCACTGTTCTCATTCTATGTATACTCTTTCTGTGATCTCATCCTCCAGGATTCATCTACCAATCATCTGATTGTTAGTGATTTCTAAATAATGTATCAGGAGCCTGCACCATTCCCCTTATTCATTCATTTATCCAACTACCTGCTGGATGAGTCCATCTGGATGTCCCACGGACATTACAAATTTAACATTCTGGGTACTGAACTGATGCCATTTCTTATGAAACTAATGGTTCTTCCTGTCCAGCCAACCACCCAAGCTGGAAGATCATCACCCTTTCTTTAAATGCTATGCCTTAGGTCCACCAGGCAGAAGATTCTGCAGATTTCGTTTCCATATATCTTGCTGCTTTGTACCATGTCTACCTCAACTGTTCTGCTTCAAGTTCTAGTCACCTCCCTTGAATTATTGCAACTTGTATCCTTCACTCTGTCCTTGACTCCCCAAAGTACAAGCTCTTTATACTGCCAAAGTGATCTGTTTAAAAATGCACATCTGATCATAATGCACCCCTAACTAAAATCCTTCCAGAAGCCTCCTGTTACCACAGAATAATCTCTTGGCTCCTTACTATGGCCTGCAAGAATCTCCACCTTCTCACTCGTCCCTTTCTCTCTAGCTTTTCACATCCTGCTGAACATTGCACTCAAGAAACATCACTAAATTGGTTGTAGCTTCTTCCTCCCTACTCCACCCCCACAAAAACAACGCTGTTTTCTACAGCTATTATGTTCTCTGCTTTGAATACGGTTATATCTAACTAAATCTCCTCAGACCTGGTTACTCTATTTAAGTGTCCTCTGAAGCCTCCCCGCCCATATCACCACCCCCTGCTGGGTCATGGTCATCTCTGCACTGACATTGCCTTATATTATTTTTTTATGAATCTACTCTCTCCAAAAGACCCTTTGTTCTTTGAAGGCAGGTACTGACTTTTGTTGTTTGCATTTTTTACAAAATTTGGTGCCCCTAGAATCTAGCATATTCCTCAACAGGAATTTAATTAATATAGCTATGTAGTTGGTTTCTCAACTCCTCAAGCATCTTTCTAATATGTGTAGAAAATACAGCATTCCTAATGGAACCAAAAATCAAGTGATAATAAATATACTAACATGAAATGGGGCTAATAGTATTTTCAAGAATCTGATTATCTAATAATCACAAGTTCTAACATTCACAGGTTGAAAGTTTAAGTCAAATAAAAAAGTTTAGAAAAAGGCTATAGTAAAAAAAAAAAAATCACAGAAACGATTCAAAGAATCTATACTTTGTTTTCTTTCCATTTAGGTTTAAATACTCAACCTTAAGTAAGGTGACAGGACAGATGCTATACTTTAATTCCCCATTATCTGAAGTTGTGGGACAGAAATAGAATAAG